AGCTTTTTTTAAATATATTGAAGCAACTGCTCATTAAAGAGCAAAATGGGTTTTATAAAAAAATTAGCTCTAAATTACCAGTCGACAAACGGCTCGTAAGTTATTAAAGAAAACTTTAGGTGTAAGTTGGAGAGGCAAAGCGTCGCGGGGGTTTTTTTGCTCTTTTGATTAACATTAAATTCAATAAAATCTTACACTTTTACTGGCCTATTAATATTTTAGATTTCATTAAATTAATACATTATTATATATTAATGTATAATTTATCAATTTATTTTTCCTAATGCATAATTAGCATTGGCAATGAAGTTTTAAACTAAAATAAAATTTTGAAAGATTTGGGAATTTTATCAAATACCAAATTAACGTTCACAAATTATATAAACAACATTTCCAAATCTACCCTCAAGATACTAGGATTTGTTATTAGAAATAGTTAAAACTGTTTTAATCCGTTGATATTAAAAACCCTTTACTTTACATTGACTTGTTATTGAGATATGAATTGGAACCTTGATTAAAACATTCACGAGAGAGATCTCTTATAATCTATAATAATAATAATAATAATAATCTAATATATTCAGCGAAGGTTTTTAGTTATTTACCTAATATTAATTCCTTAGATATAAGAAAAATTATTGTCTCTGAATTGTTTGTATAATATTGTTAATGCCAAATTTGATTGTACAATTTTATTGGAAAAATGAAATTTTAATATACCTCGTATAAACTCTAGAAATCAAATATCCTTTACAAATGATAGAGGTAGGACCAATATTGCGAATAAATCACCGATTTACTATATGTGTCAAAATTTCAAGAAGATTTCTGAACACTGAAATATTAATTTTATTTTTTATTTCGTTGCAACGACATAAAAAATAAAATTAACGTACATGTACGATCTCTTATTGAATTTTATATGTTTTTTTATTATTATAATATATAATATATATATATATATATATATATATATATATATTAGGGTGTTCCTTATTTAGGGGTCGGAAAAAATTTAACAGAGCCGCCCCCCAAATCGGTTCCAAATCAAAAATTCCTGCAAAATTTTAGGTCATTCGGTCAAAGGGAACACGTGCCCCACAGGCGTTTTTTAAGAAATAATTGAGAAAATTCGGAAGGCTGATATAACTCCGAAACGGTCCATCGTAGGAAAAAAAAGTGTATATAAATTTTATGTGTTTTTTTTAGATAAACAACTTTCGTAATAACAGTCCTGCGTTAAAAAAATTTATTCGGGGTCAAAACGCGATAAAACGCTTTTTTGTGTACTTTAGCGCTACCTACTTTTTCAATTTTCTGTCCTAGAGCATCGACCCAATGACATAAATTGTAGGGGACAATGCACCCTACATTTTTTGTTGACAACATTTTTTTCTTAAACTAACCGATTTTGAAAAAAATTAAATCCAAAACTTTTTGAGTTTTCACCAAAAACACGTTGTGCTCCGAAACTCCGAAACGGTTTATCGTAGGAAAAAAAGTTTAAATAAATTTTGTAGTTTTTTTTCAAGCTAATCAACTTTCCTAATGCCTTTGTCACAATAGTGTTAATGTTAATGGTAATGTTTATATAGCATAGACAAATGCGTGTATCAACGTAACCATCAACATTACCATCATTGTGAACGGATACACGCATATTTCTATGCTTTGGGTATTAACATTAACATTACTATTAACATTAACACTATTGTGAGATATAATAATAGTGCTGCGTTAAAAAAAAATCGAGTTCAAAAAGCGATACAACGCTTTTTTTGGTACTTTAGCCCTACCTACTTCTGAAATTTTCGATCGACTTATTAACATAAATTGTAGGGACTACATTTTTTGACTAAAATTTTTTTTCTAAATTTTATCGTTTTTGAGAAAAATAAAATATAAAAAAACAAAAATTGAGTTTTCTCCTTAATCCGGAGTAGGATAACGCAGTTGAGTTTTCTCCTTAATCCGGACTAGGAAAAAAATCTTGCAAAATTTAAGATTAATCCGTCAAAACTAACACGTACGCACGTGTTATTTTTGCCGATTAACCTCAAATTTTGCAAGATTTTTTTTTTGCGTTGATACACGCATTTGTCTATGCTTTATTAACATTACCATTAACATTAACACTATTGTGACAAAGGCATTAGGAAAGTTGATTAGTTTGAAAAAAACTACAAAATATATTTTAACTTTTTTTTCCTACGATAAACCGTTTCGTAGTTTCGGAGCACAACGTGTTTTTAGTGAAAACTCAAAAAGTTTTGGATTTAATTTTTTTCAAAATCGGTTAGTTTAAGAAAAAAATTTTGTTAACAAAAAATGTAGGGTGCATTGTCCCCTACAATTTATGTCATTGGGTCGATGCTCTAGGACAGAAAATTGAAAAAGTAGGTAGCGCTAAAGTACACAAAAAAGCGTTTTATCGCGTTTTGACCCCGAATAAATTTTTTTAACGCAGGACTGTTATCACGAAAGTTGTTTATCTAAAAAAAACACATAAAATTTATATACACTTTTTTTTCCTACGATGGACCGTTTCGGAGTTATATCAGCCTTCCGAATTTTCTCAATTATTTCTTAAAAAACCCCTGTGGGGCACGTGTTCCCTTTGACCGAATGACCTAAAATTTTGCAGAGATTTTTTTTTTATGATTTGGAACCGATTTGGGGGGCGGCTCTGTTAAATTTTTTCCGACCCCTAAATAAGGAACACCCTAATATATATATATATATATCGATGCCTGTTAAGTTGTCACTTCCGTAGTATAAACAAGGCGTCCTAACTTCCACATGAACGAAGGCTTATACAAGCATTTTAAAACTATATATAAGTGAAGGGGAACCTACGTAATCCGAATCTCTAGAGAGGATTTCGCAAATAAATATTTGTGTACTATGGCCGTGACTTAGTCACTTCCATCATATATAGAGACAATTGCATCGTAGACACTTCCGACAGGGTTGCCAGATTTTCGAGTCTAAAAATAGATTTAGTCTAGTTATCTCTCTCCGTTGCTCATGCGGACCTTTTTTAATTCGAAACGCTTAAAGTAAATATTCTGTTATGTGCAACACTTAGTAACCACGATTCGTTCGCCAAGCGTAAGTACGGCACATTCGACGTTCGAAACTAGTTATTAAACTTGCATTGTTTAATAATATTATTATGTTAAATTATGTTTGGTAATGTTTTAATAATAATAATAATAATTTAATATTTTTTGAGTGGAGAGAATATTGCGTGTATTATTATTTTATTATTTCCAAATTAAAATTATAATAATTATTATTTTAAGTGTAAGACATCCAAATTTAATATTTTTATTTTGTTTTTGTTATTTTATGTGTTGGGTTATAATCTCAAACTGCGCTGTGGCTAAATGTATAAACTGTAATAAATCTACAAAAGGTAATAAAAAATAAAATGTCAAAATTTACGAATTTAAAAAAATAGTACCTACTTACATACGTATTTTTTAATATAATTTTTTCTCTCGTCATAAAAATGTTAAAATTAATATTTTTATAGAATTAATAAGGGTGTTTATCAAAGTGGACAACATAATAAAGTTTGTAGATCTTATAAGAAATAATTATCGAGTCCGACACTTTTTTAAATAAATATTTTTCATTGGAGCTGTTATTTTCGTCGGTTGATAAATTTTTTTAAATGTTTAACACAAAAATTGTAGGTAGAAATTAAAATTACAATTTTTTTTTAAATCTGCATATAATTAACTTTAATAAAAAGGTTTATTTAAAAACAAAGTTCGATAATTCAAAAACAAAAGCTCAAATTAAAAATATTTATTTGAAAAAAGTGGTAGTCTCGATGAGATCTCTATAGGTAACCTAATTTAGGTTGTCAATTTTTAGTAGAAACACCCTGTATTTATAACATTGATGTTTTCTTTTTCACAAAATATCTTTTGAATTACCTGGTAAAAACATAAAAGGGGGATTCCACGTCAGATCAGGCAGGTTTTGACCCTCACCCCCTCTGATTTTGACGAAAATCGCTGTATGGGCTTCAAATGGGCCCAAATAGACCTGACTGCAAAAGTTTGAAAAAAGAATAAAAATTGTGAATTTTATGGGGGGTATCATTTTTGGAACTTTTCAGATCAGAGGTATATTGTTTTGCTTATATCTTGGGTCCTAATTGACCTAGAGATTTGGTCGACGTCTTATTTTAAAGAAAAAAGACTATACTTTTTAATTATTGTACATTTTTATAAATTTGAATAATTTTTTATTAAAATATATAATTTTGAAAAATTAAATTTTAAATATTTCAAAAACACCCCTTTTTATTTTTTTTATTTTTTTATATGTGAAAAAGCAAACCTTTTTCTACACTTACCTAAATTTTGGTAGGGGTTATTTTTTTTGAAAGGGAGATTTGATTTTTTTAATATTCGGTGTCTTTATACCCAGCGCCTATCTAGTTCTTATTTAGTGGGCTTGGGTTTAATTCTAGGTACTAAAATATTTTTGGGTATTTTTTTTTTCTTAAAAATACTAAATTTTAAAAGAAAATAATATTTAATTATTTTCATATAATGTGTCATAAGCTTTACATTTTCCCATATAACCTGCAACAAAAAAGAAAATATGCTTTAATATAAATATTTTCGTTAAACAAAAGTAGATTCATTCAAATTTTTTTTATTTTTTTCTCAAAAATAATCAATTTTAAAAGAAAACATAATTTAATTTAATTGTTAAAGTTTTAAAATAAACAAATATTATAAAATGAGTAAAGGGATATTAAACAAAGTTTTTTTTATAATAAACTACACAAAAACCTAGTAAACAAAACAACTTTGCTTGTAAGCGAGTAATTATAACAAGTTATTATAATATTATTATTCTTGCAACAATATTGTTAAAATTAGGTACGTAATAATTTCTATAAAATAAATTAAATTAATAAAATACATTCCTTTTAGTAACAAACGTTAACTATACCACTTTTTAATATAAATATGGAAAGTCTTCAACGCTGCTCTGTTGGTGTCAAACATCAAGTCGAGTGTTCTAAGGAAAAACATTTCAAGAGGAGAAAAGCGTTTAATGAGAATGAAATCTATCTTTTGGAAAGAAGAACTAATTGCCCCGGTTTTTCTAACATTTGCCGCCTACATCTAAAACGGTACAAATATAAATATAAATTTTTTGAAAAAATATGTTGCAATCCTTTTAATGCACATAAAAAAAAAACGAAGGGTTTGTGGACTGTTTCAAAGAATTGTGGCTTGAAATGCAGAGAAAGTCTCCCAACGGTTTTAGAGGGAAAAAAGTTGTGTGCGACTTGTAAGGTTAAAGTGTTAAAGGTCATCTCAATTAAAGCTAAGGACAATGATTTAAACCAAGGCGAAGCCGAAGAGGTTGTGTCCCATGCTGTGGTTATAGCGGCTGAAAAGCCGGAAAATTCTTCTTTAACCCATGATCCAGGCCCAAGTACTTCTGATCTGCAAATAATTGAATCTCTTCAAAGCCACGGTTACGGTAGTTCATCACCTTCCGATACTATCGAGCTTAAGGAAACAGTTTATTCACCTATAAAAGGGTTTGTTGATAAAATTAACACAAGTTTGTCAGCACTGGGTCAGTCACCTATAAAAACTAAAAAAAGGATGCGCTCACGTAAATACGTTAAGAAAAAACTAAATAAAACAAATTTGGTGTTTCGTAAGTCATTTCAAAAAATATTAGAAGATAACATCGGAAACCCTATGCTAAGTGACGAGGATTTTGATTTAGAGGGAGCTGGCCAAGACATTATGAAACAACTTAAGGAATCATTTCAGAAGACTAAACAAATGAGCAGGAAGATTATGATATTATCATTGTCACCTAAAAGTTGGAGCAAGCAACAAATTATGTCCTATTTCGGAGCCACAAAATATATGGTGGAAAAGATGAAAGACTGTGTGAAAGAAAAAGGCATTCTCTGTACTCCAGATCCAGGAAAAGGCAAGATATTGCCCGATCACCTGAGAGATTTAGTAGTGGGTTTTTATAGAGAGCCTCAAATCAGCCGTGAGCTTCCTGGAGCAAAAGAATACAAGAGCGTACTTGAGGATGGCAAGCGGGTACAAAAGCAAAAGCGACTTGTTTTAGGCACCCTAAAAGAAATTTATGAGGCTTTTAAAACTACCCATCCTAACAAGAACATCGGGTTTTCCAAGTTTTGTCAGCTTCGTCCTGCCGAATGTGTACTTGCAGGCGCTTCAGGCACCCACTCCGTATGTGTGTGTCAGACGCACCAAAATTTTAAACTTATGTTCATGGGGGCTCGACTAAACCAACTAAAACTCCCTGAGGAAGATTCACCCTTTCACAATTACAGAGACATCCTACTTTCAACGATATGTGAGTCACAAAGTAATGATTGCTATAGAGGGACCTGCAAAAAATGCCCAGGAGATGAAAAATTAGAAAAAATACTTCGGTGCCAATTGGAAAGTAACTATATCGATGACATAACCTATTATCAATGGCAGCAAACGGATCGTTGTTCTCTAGAAAAAATAACTGCATCTGCAGATGAATTTATAGAAAAACTGCTGTCAAATATACCAAATGTAAGAAAGCATGACTTTGTTGCGAAGAAGCAATCAGATTTTTTTAAGAGAGTGCGAGATAATTTACCTCATGATGAAGTTCTGGTTATAGCTGATTTTTCAGAAAATTATCATTTTATTATACAAGACAGTGTTCAAGGTGTGCACTGGGACAACACTCAGGCCACCGTTCATCCGTTTGCTTGTTATTTCCGGGACGCAGAAGGTGAAGTAAAACCTCTAAGTCTTGTCATTATCTCAGACTCACTAGAACACAGCACCACCTCCGTTCACGCTTTTCAAAGGGTCCTTATAAGCTTTTTAATAAAAAAAAACCCATCTCTTAAGAAAGTAATATATTTTTCAGATGGTGCCTCTTCACAATACAAAAATAGATATAATGTTACTAATGTACTGTTTCATGAAGACGATTTCGGAATACCCGCAGAATGGCACTACTATGCAACGTCACACGGTAAGGGGCCGAGTGACGGCCTGGGGGGTACTCTAAAGAGGAATGCTTCAAGAGCGAGCCTGCAACGTCCAGAAGACAAGCAGATCAAGACGCCCAAGGACCTCTTTGATTGGGCCACAAGCAAAGAGAATAAAATGAATTTTGCTTTTGTTTCGACAGATGATATTAAGTCTGAGGGAAAAGCTGTAGCTGCCCGATTTCGGGGTGCATGCGAAGTCAAGGGAATTAGGCAATATCATGCAGCTATACCCGTATCTTCACAAATCATCTGCATGAAATATATTTCAGAAGAGTCAACCGGAATAAACATCCAAATGAGGAACTCTAATGCCAATGCCGATAATTTCGAACCAATAAATACATATTCTACCCGGTAAGTAACAATTTACGATTTAGTAATTGATAAAATTATTATTTTATTTGAACTTGTAGAATTTAATTAGTTTGGCAATTAATGCTAGTAAAATTTGCATTCTTAGTTTAGTAATTCTATTCAATACCTTAATTTAAAACTTTAGTTACTTTTTAATTTTGTAACCACAAGTCAATTTATTTTATTAGGATTATGACTTTTTTTAAATTGGCAATGAGTAGTATTTTTTATTATAAAATTAAATATTTTAAACTTATCAACGGTTTTTGTCAAATTATGGAAAATAATCATAAGAAAATATTAAATGTTGATGAACTTGTGTGACTTAGGAAAACGTATCTAAACACAATACTATACAGTAAAATAACAAATTTTTTTCTGGTAATAAACTACTAGTAGATAAATACTATTTTAATTTCATAACCAATAATATTTATTAAATTTTAAAATTTTCAATCTAAGAATAAAATAGAAATGATTGCCAACTAAATTCCCAAATTTGCCACGTTGTTTTAATCTCTTAAATTTGAACGAGTTCAAACAAAAAAATTGACCCACTTTTGTTCAAAGAAAATATTTGGATTAAAGCATATTTTCTTTTTTGTTGCAGGTTATCTGCGAAAATGTAAAGCTTATGACACATTATATCAAAATAATTAAATATTATTTCCTTTTAAAATTTAGATTTTTAAGAAAAAAAAATACCCAAAAATATTTTAGTACCTAGAATTAAACCCAAGCCCACTAAATAAGAACTAGATAGGCGCTGGGTATAAAGACACCGAATATTTAAAAAATCATATCTCCCTTTCAAAAAAAATAACCCCTACCAAAATTTAGGTAAGTGTAGAGAAAGGTTTGTTTTTTCACATATAAAAAAATAAAAAAAATAAAAAGGGGTGTTTTTGAAATATTTAAAATTTAATTTTTCAAAATTATATATTTTAATAAAAAATTATTCAAATTTATAAAAATGTACAATAATTAAAAAGTATAGTCTTTTTTCTTTAAAATAAGACGTCGACCAACTCTCTAGGTCAATTAGGACCCAAGATATAAGCAAAACAATATACCTCTAATCTGAAAAGTTCCAAAAATGATACCCCCCATAAAATCCACAATTTTTATTATTTTTTCAAACTTTTGCAGTCAGGTCCATTTGGGCCCATTTGAAGCCCATACAGCGATTTTCGTCAAAATCAGAGGGGGTGAGGGTCAAAACCTGCCTGAACTGACGTGGAATCCCCCAAAACACATTGTATTATAACATTGATATTATCCTTTTTTTAAATATCTAAAAACATGCAAAAACCTTTATTATTTTAAAATAATAACAATAGCAGAAAAACGAACTGCCTTTGAATCTGCATCTGCATATATTAAACATGCGAGCCAATCAAAATGCAGCGGCTCAAGGCGTGGTCCTTAAACCGCCAGATTTAAAATATGAATTGAACCTTTAATCTTCGATTAAAGACAGTTTGATAATAACCTTTCCAGACTGTAATAATAATAAGTACTTTCTTGATTGTAAAAAGCAAGATAAATTTATTAAGAATTAATATCTTTGCTATTTCTTTTTATTGTAATGTAAGTATAATGGGAATATTGTTATTATTTTAATTTACTGTTCTGTTTTTGTGCTGCAACGCACGTCAAAAAGCACTGTTTTGTATTTTTTTTTGTAAATATTAATTTTTTATTTATAATGTGTTAAATGAGTTATTACGTATAATAAACCATATTTTAATTTTAAAGGTTTTTATTTTTTAAATGCGTTTTTAGATTATCAAAAAGCACTGTTTTATAGAAATAATTCACAAACTTTTTTTATAACAAATAAATATCCATTTTTTTTCTTTTTTACTGCATTTTAATGTATAATAATAATAAATAATAAATAAATATCTATTATAATAACCCCATAATTTTTTTATTGAAAAAAAATATTTATTTTTTTATTTGTTAAATAAGACTTATTAGGTATAATTAACTTTATTTTAATTGAAAAATATAACGAATTTTAATTTTTAAATGCGTTTTAGGTGGTCCTAATCAAAGCATGAAATATTTATTTTTCTATTTTTAACTGTGTTAAATAAGACTTAATAGGCATAATTAACTATACTTTAATTAAAAAATAAAGGTCTTTATTTTTTAAATGCCTTTTTTAAATGTTCGCGGTGAAATGATGGCGAAAATAATTCAATAACTTTTTTATTGTAAATAAATACATATTATACACATACTCAGCACACTTTAAGAAATAAATAAACATAATTTAAATTTTAAAATTTTTTCCTATAATAATTCCTCATATTTTACAAATTTTGTATTTCTCCTAAGTAGCCGTTCTTAGTAACGTTATTAGGGGGTCAGACGATATTAAAAGACGATGAAATATATTTTCGTTTATTGATTTTCGATTTGTTTTTCTCGAAAACATAATATATTATATAACAATTTTTTAAAATCCTTATGTCTAGATTCTTGAGTTTCCTCAAAAAGATGCAAAACAAGGGATTATTAATTAATTTATAAAATTAAGATAACCTACAAAGCAAAGTCATTGTTCTTTTTCTGAAATACTGATTGTAGCATATCTGCAACAATATGCACTAAGGTCCTATATATTTTGTAGCATGAGTAGCAAAAAAGGTCTGACGGATGAGGAATTAGCAAAGATATTAGCGAACTTATCAGAAAGTGAGGATGGTCTGGACTTTTCAGACACTGATAGTGTGGCTGACCTTCCATATTTACCGAGTGACGACGAAGATGATGCAAGAACTGCCAGTCCAATAATTTTCGCAAATGAAGAGGATGAAATTGAAAGTGAAAGTGTCTTGGAATTTGATCAACCCTCCACTTCAACGGCTACGCAAGACACGTTACCCAAGTCCAAATCTCAAAAAGGAAAAGGTAAATCTAAACAGAAGAAAGAGAAAGTAAAATGGAACCATGTGGGTATCAAGCTAAATGAAGAACAACTTACCTTTCATGGATCTACAGACCTTCCTTCTGCTATTTTAAATTTGTAGACACCATACAGCTTCTTTAAGTACTTTTTCACTGATGAACTGTTTGATCAAATAGCATCAGAAACCAATTTATATGCTACTCAGAAAGACCCAAGCAAGCCAACAAATTTCACTGCCCGAGATATCGGAAATTTTATTGGGATTTGTTATTTTATGTCTTTAGTAAGTATGCCAAATACACGATCATACTGGAGTGACGATTTATGTTTTCCTCATGTTCAAAATACTATGCCAGTAAACACCTTTGAAAAAATTCGTCGTTTCATACATTTCAATGATAACAATAAACATCTGCCAAGAGATCACGCAGATCATGATAGGTTGCACAAAATCCGTCCCATTATTGACCATCTAAATGAGAAATTTTCCAATGTCCCTTTGGAAGCCCATAGTTCAATCGATGAGCAGATGTGCTCCACCAAAGTTCGGCACTTCATGAAGCAGTATATGCCAAAAAAGCCACATAAATGGGGTTTCAAGTTATTCGTTCTTGCAGGTGTGTCAGGTTTTGCTTATCGATTTGAAATATATTCAGGACAAGAAAACTTACATCAAAGACCTGATGATGAACCGGATCTTGGCGCGTCAGCCAACGTTGTTGTACGCTTGTCAAGGATAATACCAGAAATGCAAAATTATAGGCTATATTTTGATAACTATTACACATCTTTATCGCTTGTAGCGTACCTTGCCAAACGGGGTATTTACACTCTGGGCACCATCAGACGAGATAGAATACCCAATTGTCCATTGCCAACTGATAAAAGCCTAAGTCATGCAACACGTGGTAAAAGTGATGAGTTTACAACCCTAGTTGATGGAGTAGAGGTGTCGGCATTGATATGGAAAGACAACAAATATGTTACCATGCTATCAACATTTGCTGGAACAATTCCAAAAACATATGTAAAACGTTTTGATAAGAAACAAAAAAAAAAGGTTGACGTAGATTGCCCTTTTGTAATTCAAGAATATAACAAGCACATGGGTGGGGTGGGCCTTATGGACAGCAACATTGGAAGATACAAAATCAGGAATAAAAGCAGAAAGTGGTATTTGCGTCTCTTCTACCATTTACTTGATGTGACAATGGTCAATGCATGGCTGTTATACAAACGAGCCTCCATTGGAAAGGATAATTTTAACACCAAACTCTTATCACAATCACAATTCAGAAGTGAAGTCGCGAACTGCTTGTGCAATGTTGGAGTTAACAAAAAACGTGGTAGATCAAGAATTGAACAAGAGATTCAAGAGAAGAAAGCTAGAGGTCCAGCTCAGCACACCCCTCCCCAAGACATACGCACTGATCAAGCAGGTCACTGGCCTTTACTTGTCGAAAAAAGGGTCAGATGCAAATTTCCCAAATGCAACGGGTTCACCAGCATCATTTGTGAAAAGTGTGGAGTGACGCTATGTTTTAACAAAAATAAAAATTGTTTTAGACTGTTCCATACATAAACATCTTTTTTGCATAAAGTTGCATATTTGCTACATATTGTTTTTTTTTCAAAATAATTTTTTTTTTTTATTTTAATTTTTTTAATTATTTTTCCTATGTTATATTAGCCATTTGAAAACGTTTTATGTATATTTTGTATAAAAATAAAATCATATGCATTTAAGGGTTAAAATATTTATAACAATTAATAAATTCAACTAAAACTTATGAGCATAGATCTGTACGAAAATCTTGAGTGGGTAGACAATGCCTTACTTATGTATATACGAGCGCTCGCGATTTAGCCATGCAGCGCGATAAATAAAAATTCATAACTTTTCCATATGTGCGTATATGCAGCTAATTTTTTGTGTACTTATAACGTAAAGTTTACTGAACAACTTTATCAACGTGAAAATCAGAGGCAATCGTATTTAAATTCATATATATATGATTTTTTTTCTACTAATTTTACTAATGTATCTTTAAAACATTTTAACTTTTAATTTTAATTTTTAAACACGAATTTTTATATATGTAGATTAAGGTCTACTTTAAACTTATTTAAAAAAGATATATTTTGTTCGATTAAAAGATATAGTTTAACTGTTTTAAAAACATTTTACTTTAAGGTGTCATAAAATAAAAACATAATTATTTAAAAATAATTCTTTACCCAAATTTATTGCTTTAAAATGTTTTTAACAAATTATCGTCATAAAAATACCCATAATAAAATGGTTTATAAAAATGTATTTTTTCCGCCGATAAAACATAGTGTGGCGTTTTCAAAACAATTTCGCAGGTTTGCGCTTTGCGTTTTTTAACGTAATGAACAAAGCGTAACTTATATCAAAGTCTCTGCTTGTATCCTTAATTCTTTCGTGCACTTTGCCATGTTGCCACATTTCGGAAGTGACATAGTCGTGCCTATGCATCGGAAGTGACACCGTCGCTATATATGAAATGCATATATCGATGGTGGCGCCAGCGGCATATACCTGAACTAAGTGCCAAACTGAAAAGGTACGAAAGCTACGTAGTCACTTCCACCCGTTTTTTCGGATTTGAGCTCCTTGTGCCCTCTAGTGGCTAAATATGCTGACAACAAGGCGAAACGTTGTCACTTCCATATATACGTTCCCACTTCCAATTTTGGAAGTCACAACGAATGTTACGTACCTATTTCGGAAGTGACTTGGTACATTTCATCAATATATATATATATATATATATATATACATCTTGAAGTGCTTAGGTCGTCCATACGAGATCCAGCAATATGTCTTCTGCCAGAAGCATAGCGAATATATTTATTTTGATAAAGTATGTTTACTGTTAGACAGCTACAATATTACGTCAAGCAAAAATATAATTTTTATTTTTGTTTAAACTGCTTGTACTTTGCGATGGTTAAGTCTTCCTTATACATTACAGTCAGTTGGTCCTCCTAGCATATACGCCTTGGACATATGTCCGATATCGGTCTTCCAGCAATACCCAATATGCTACATACTACAATGGATACGTTAACCGGCGGTGTTGTCATATGTCTCATCATATGATTTTTGATTATCATATAACTTATAATATAATATAATTTCTGTGATATGCGGGGGGAATCATTATGACCACAAAATCCACTTTAGTAAGCAATCCCTGGGGCTACCCCAAATATTTTCTTTTTTAATTTTTACTTTTCTTTTTTGATACCTCATTGGAAAGCTTTTAAAACTTGCTATTTAACAGTACTAAACAAAAAACCTTTTAATCTTAATTTTTTGAGAAATATGGGAATAATTGTTTATAATTATTTATTCCAATTTTTAGTTACAAATATAAAAAAGCAATAATAAAAACCCGGAAAACACAAAATAATAAAAGTTAAATACAAAAAATCATATATAAACAAATTGTTCGACAATAATTAAAACACTTTAATTTTTAGCTATTTAAATTAAATGCTTTCCATCATTTTGTAAGAAATAGTAAATTCTATTCTAAAATTCCCTTTCGAAAATTTTGTCATGGAATAGCTATGCTGAGCTAGCTCAGCATTCTTGAAGTATTCCTTTTCGCAGATCTTTAATAGAACGATGCTGCCATAAAAAAAGTCTACTATCAGGTCTGGAGATCTGGAAGGCCATTATATTGGTCATCTTTCACCGAACCACTGTTCTGCATAATTCTGATCCAGGCAAGTCTTGACAGCCCCATCTTGCTGAAAATGTAATAAATTTTCATCCAAAGCTAGTTCTTATCCTCTTTGATTGTCTATAGACCTTTCTATAGTTCATTTAATATTAGTGGCTGTATTGTTTCATCCAACATTTTAAAATAAACTTCACCTTTCCAATTTTAATGAATAAATAAGGGACCAATAATACCTACAATCTTCCAAAATTCGTGCCTAGACATAAAGTTTTTTACGATACTAGGTATGATTTTCTCTGATGAGATAAGGATTTTCATTGCTCCAATAACGACAATTTTGTTTGTTAATATTTCCATGTTGATAAAAAGTACACTCATCGCAGAAAATGCCTATTTTTTTAGTATTTGGATCTCAGCGAGGGGTAAACCACTGATTTTTTAAAATTAAAAATTGCATACGAATGAACGCCCAAGGATTACAATCACAAGGGTAGTCATGCGCAACGCGTTGCTAAGAGAGATTTAATATTGATAACGACTGACAAGGAAAAAATCAGAACACAACGTCCACATAACGTTGAACGTTGGTCCGGCTGATTTTAAAGTGGTTTACTCCTTGGATCTCAGTTGATATCTTGTTAAAGGTCATTTTACAAAATTGTAAACGCTTGTCATCGCCAAGTTATTGTGTAATATGTATCTTGAATTATAGGTGATGGTGATGTTTTAACACCTTCCTAGCAGAGTCAGGCCAAAGCCTTCTTAATCAAGATGCCAAAGGGAGTGATATTGTGGCACCTATACCAAACTGGCCAAAAACCCCAATATGGGTGGCTTCATTGAGTATTGTTAGGCGGTAGCCCTGCAAGAAATGCCAGGTGGTACCATCTAATGAAAGCGCTTGGTGAAATGAAAACTGCAACATTGCTAGCCAAGGTTCTTTGTCTAGGACGCCCTTTTCACCAACAAGTGTATACGTGTGCACAGCAGTGGCTGTTTGTCAGGGTAGGCCTCTGAGGCTGCGCCTCACCCTTAAAATAAAGAAACGAACTACATTAAAAAACGAGTTTATGTTTCGCAATTTGGGTTAAGATTGTTTTGATATTTCCTTTGTTTTTTATCCGGATAGCGGATCTTAGATCCGGGTGCGGATCTTAGATCCGGATAGCGGATCTTAGATCCGGATAGCGGATCCTAGATCCGGATAGCGGATCTTAGATCCGGATAGCGGATCCTAGATCCGGATAGCGGATCTTAGATCAGGATAGAGGATCTTAGATCCAGATAGCGGATCTTAGATCCGTATATCGGATCCAGATCTGAGATCCGAATCCGGTTCCTATATTTAAATCCGGATACGGATACATCCGGATCCGGTTTTTTTCTCAAGGATCCCCGATCCGTA